GACTCATAGTATGTGGGCATTCCAACCTGTTGGTTGTGGGCCTGGGGTATTCCATCTCGAGGATGATTGGGCCCATAGTATGTGGGCATTCCAACCTGTTGGTTGTGGGCCTGGGGTATTCCAACCCGATGGTTGACTGGACCCATAGTATGTTGTTTATGATTCTATGTGTGTATTATTGAGAGTATGGGTATTTTGGGGGAACTCACTAAGCTTTCGGGCTTATAGTTTCAGTTTATTGTTTCATGTACATCAGGGGATCGCGGGAAGGCGAAGGCATGATCGTACAGCTCCTCGTGATTTGTTTATGTTTCTCGGAAAACTCTGATATTAGAGATTTTGAAAACAAACTTTGTAATGATGAATGGTTTTAAATGTTTGAAAAAGTTTTAAATTGGCATGAAATTTTTGGGTGTTACAAGTTGGTATCAGAGCCTTGGTTTGAGTGAATTGGAGGAACCCTTGTGTGACTCCAGTCTCAAATCAAGGAAAAGATTTTCAAAATGATTTCCAAATGGTTTTCAAAATAAGTAAGGGAGGATGCAGGGTGTACGATCAGCCGAAGCCAGTAAGTTGACCCCAAAATACCATACAGTTATTTGATTATGTGATATGTTAGAACAGCATGCTAGTGCTAGGCTATGGATCTTCAGGAATTGCATGATAGAATTGCCTGATTACATGATGCCTGGTAGCCTAGGGTTTTCCTCAATATGAGATTGACATCATTACTATAGTTGCTTAGTGTATGCATCACGGTCGCACATAACTAAGATCTTTTAGCCTGAGAATGTTTGGTTTGGCCTTATTTCCCGTTCTTGTTTGATGAAGGGCTTAGGGTAGGATCAGGTATTCAAAAGTCTATAGGGTGCAGCGTTATGTATGACTAGCATACACTAGTGCTACAGGGTTGGTGGAAGTTTCATGGATGGGTGGGTTGTGTGAGACTGGTAGGTCAGTTGTGAGACATTAAGCCTTCCTCTAGGAGTGAGGTTGAGCGACCACCAGGTGTGTGTATAGTGTTAGGGTGATACTTGAAACAAATATGGGTAGGTGTGGAAGGTAGTAGGAGCCCATACTACTGAAAGCACAGGACCCATACGCATAGCAAGGAGGTCACAACCCGTAGGGATTAGACGGGAGTTGGTTCCCAGGTATTTATGCGGATTGCTGATATCTTCTGGTTATATTTTCAGTATGGTGGTTACGAGGCGCTTCGTGAAAGGATCCGGATCAGGATCAGGTCAGGGTGATCAGGAGGCCCCTGTAGCACCTGAGGTTATCGGCCAGGAGGGGCCATTGCTGACAGAGGATCGAGGCAGGGAGGTCATCCGCGAGGAGGTGGTCAAGATTGTCCGGGGTCAGATTCCGGAGTTATTTGGGACTATCAAGTCCGCTATGATGGAGTACTTTGATGACCGATATGCAGCCCTTACTGAGACAGCTGTCGCTGCAGCCACCGCGGCTGTAACAACGGCAGGAGGGGGAGCGGGCCGAGTTTTTCAGTACCGGGACTTCGATAACACGAAGCCCCCGACTTTTGATGGTACTCAGGATCCCATTGTAGCCATGAGGTGGCTGTTGGAATTCCATGAAGTGTTTCTTGTCGAGAATTCACACTAACTTTTGAGTATTTGTTTTTGCTCGTCAAGGAATGTTCCTTGAGAGAGAAACTTATATGTCAAGAAGTCAGTGGGAGTCTTATTGATCTTGAAGAGTTTCAGGAGTCAATGGAGAATAAACCTTTTAGTTATCACTAGCACACGACCTGAGGTTGATAACCTATCGTGTTAAGTTGACACATTCTTGTTTCTATGCATCTTCCAGTTGGGTTGGCAATGCTTATGAGTTCTATGGTTCTTATTTGACTGCAAAAGTCAGAGCACGTTGGTCAGTGAATGTACATTGATCAATATGGATGAGCTGCTTACCAACATGGAAGTACTGGTAGGCCCTTGTGCTACCAGAGGGCAAGAAATTAAGAATAAGCGAAGTTCAGTCCATGAAAGGGAAGCTAAATTTGAATTTGGCTTTTTCATAAACCTTATCTTATTATTGTTGGTTGGAAATGATAGATTCATATAGATGGGAACACATACACCATAAAATCTAGGTAGCGAAAGGTTTCGCTCTAATTCATGAGAATCATTATGAGGAAACACTTTTGCTGGTAGATTTTAAAGATCTGATAAGTATCATTAAGGTTTGTAGTTGTGATAATTGCATTCTCAAATTCGCAATATGATCACGAAATCCCTTTTCATAGTTCGAATTGTGAGAATTGGCAAGGAACTATTTTGAACATTCAGGACATATGGCTATAAGTTCTGAAAGGGTTTAAACACACACACATATGCTATCTAATGAAGGTGTATAAGCTTGAGAAGTCTGCTTGAAGACTTATCGAAGTACCACGTATCAAAAATCTGAACTTTAGTAAGAAAGTCAAGAGCATTGATTTCTGGAAGTCCAGTTGATTTCTGGGTACATGTCAAAGCTAGTGGAAGCATAATTGTTATGCATATAGAAGCATAATTGTTATGCTAGTGGGAGCATGATTGTTATGCTAAGTGTTGCGAGTTAGCAATACTAATTGTAGCAAACAAAGTTTGGGAATTGTTTCGCTATAGAAAGATTTAAGGGAGAAGGAACTTATACTTCTTTTATATCTAAAAGTTTAGATTGAAGGATTTAATGGAACTTAGTCTTGGACATATATGAATATCATGTTGAAATGATTCAACATAGGAAATTCAATATATGGAAATATTATAGTAAGAGACTGAACGAATATCAAGTCTTTGCGTAAGACATAATGAATTGAGTCTCATATGCTTTGGATATATGATCATTTTCATATGCTATAATATTCACTTGTTCTGATTTTTCCAAATGCCTTGGGCATTGAGAGGAAAAAATTACTTGAACTTTGTGTAACTAAAGTTAAACAACTCTTAAGAACATTCTAAGGTTATACTAAAGGATTGGTTGCTTGTGGACAGTTGGAAGTATAGTATTATTTGGAAGGACCATAGTGACTTGTTTTAGATTGGACTGATTCTCGATCAGAATTGATGGTCATATGGGAATATGGAAATGTTTCCATAGAGGGAGTTGATGATTAAAATCTACATGTGAGTTCGAAACTTTAATGCATGGAAGGTGTTCAAGGAATGTATCTTGAATTTGAGACTTCATTGCCATGGAATTATTTTTAGTAACAAAGCTCCAATGGAACGTTTTGTGGTATCGTTGGCTAAGTCTATGTGACTTTGAAGCCTCGACATCACAGAAGGACAATGCATGTAAGGTTGGAATTCTAACACATTTAGTAGTGACAAGAATTTGAAATTGTGAAATGAGTATCATTGGAATAGTGTCCAGTCGATCTGTTCACAAAGGAAGGACCATAGAGAGACATAGTATGCATGTTTATAACATGGCATAAATGATGTTTGATTCAAGTATTTAGTTGATTACTCGAAACATTATGCAATGAATAAAGTCTAATTAATGTGGTGATTAAATAATAAGGGTTTTATTTATATTCAATAGTTTTGAGACCATAGTTAATTAGGTTATTATTGTGTTTCACTTTGCATGTTTTACTTCCAGAACAACTAGATTATTCGAAAATCCACAGTCGATCATAATTTTTGATTAATAAACAAAAAATTAAAAGTAGAATGCTATAAAAGGAAGAAACATTATACAATGAATAAAGTCTAATTGATATGTTTGGTCCAACTCTTCTACTGCAGAGGTCTACAGATGTGGTTCGCAGACTGCAAACATATTGCCTCTAAAAAAATAAACACCTAATTTTTGTATGATCAGATCTTTTGTATAATCAAAATTTTTAAATTCCAAATTTTCTAATATTTGCTTGTAACTTGATTTCTTCAGAGTTTCAGTTTCAAAGTAATTTATCGTAAAAGATTTATAGTTATACCATAACTGTTAGAGGTTATTATTCAAAAGCAGTTCATCATCTTGTACTTGCAAAAGTAATCATCATTCAACATCAGTTCGATTAGCTATTCTTCAACAAATAAAAATCTTTATTATACTAATAACTTTGGAGGTCTTTTTTTACTTCTTGCATCGGCCCTAAATATGTTTGATCGACCCTACATTTGACCCCCAATATTGGTTTGTTGCAGGTTCAAACTAATGTTATAGTACAAGTATCAAGTATGCACAAACATTATGTGACTTATATTTCTGGGCGGACCTAGGGTAGCAGGTGCTACCTTCAATTTTCTACGCATACTATAAACTTTTTGAGAAATATTCTCACATACTACCCTTAAAATAATGTGTGTTATTCTTTCAGCTTTTGTTGTGGGTCCGTTACTATATGCCTAATAATATGTGTAAATTCTTTTTAACAATCGTATAAATTTCAATTCAACCAAATGATCAAAATCACCAACAAAGTCGTGCTTGCTTAAAGCGTTTGTGAAAGTGATTTATGATATAATATATTAATTATGATAATATACGACATCCACACCCATCAAATTAATATTAATATTAATCTACAACACTACAACATGATTCATGATATAATATATTATGCGTATTATAACTATTTTAATGATGTCAAGAATATGCTTCAACTAACGTGATTGGAGCTGGATTTGATCTTCTATTTTTTTTTCTTTTCTTTTTTGTCATTTAAATGATCATGTTTATACTAAATTAAAAACATTATTTCTCATTTATAAATTAGCGGATTGAACAATTACGTACATTTGTTTGTATATATAATCCAACATGTTTCTATGTACGTACATGTACTGTGTGTATATATGTGTGTTTCAACACACTCTATTTTCAACACACGTTATTTACTAGGATGAAAAATATATACATTATTTATTTTTATGGTGAGTTTGAAGTATAAGTAACTCACCTAATTCACGGAATATAAAGCGACAAGGAGCTCACACATTAATTTTCATTTTCTTCTTTCCTTTTTTCCTTTGTCAAGAGCAATGCCTCTGAGTGGTATACTGGTTAAACAGGTTACCATCAAATCAGATGGGGATGTGTTTCATGAAATATTAAGAAGCAGGCCACACCATATATCAGAAATGAGCCCTGATTCCATAAAAGGTGTTGATTTACATGAAGGTGAATGGGGTGTTGTTGGATCAGTCATTAATGTTGACTTTATCCATGGTAAGTTCATTTCTCTTTATGAATATATAACTTCCAACAAAAATAACATCTTTGGTCATATATATTCTGTTTGAGCAATTTATGAGTATTTCATATCACATGCAGATGGGAAGGCAAAAGTGGCTAAAGAAGTGATTGAAGGAATCGACGAGGAGAAAAAGTTAGTGTGCTACAAGGTTATTGGGGGCGATATATTGGAGGCTTACAAGACCTTCTTGCTCACAGTTCAGGTGGAGACAAAGGAAGAAGAAAACTTGGTGACTTGGACTTTCCACTATGAGAAACTCAATGAGAATGTTGATGACCCCAACAGTTTGATGGATTTCTGCCTTGCTGTTACCAAAGATATTGAGAAACATCACCTATAATTTCATACGCAAGTAATTAATTTATATATATATATATATATATATATATATATATATATATATATATATATATATATATAAGTTCCAAGAAATAAAATCGTGGGATCACTTTTGTTTGTTTCACTCTATATGAAGTTGATTACATGTAAAGTTCCATTTTGATCTCATGAAACTGGTGTGGACTTTGTTTATTTGTGTCTTTTAATCGATTACAAATAATCTTTGTATAGTTATGCCCGAAAATGAAAGGTTGTATTGTAATGGTAAGTTCCTCTTCTTGTATTATATATTTAAAGCTTCAAAAAAATATTCTATTAATGATTAAGATCTTTAATGACCAAATTCTCAAATAGATTAGAGCATTATGTACTTTTAGAGAAATAAAAATTATTATATAATGAGAAATACTTTTACCGTGTTAGAGAAAATAGACATAAAGACACAGTTACACTCACCTAAAGGGTATAAGATACTCTCACACACACATACACATACCATAAATATAAGGGCCTGTTTGATAAGCTTTCTAATTGGGTCAGAAGCTTGGACTTGGTCCGCAACCTTCAGTCCGTATGTTTGATTTGGTGCATTTCGTCGGACTCGGTCAGAAGAATTAGATTCAATCGGAAGTTTTCTCCTGATTCGGTCCTCGAAAAAAAAGATGTGGACTCGGTATTTTCTTTCACGTTCTCAATTGCCCTCAAATTTTGATTCTTCTCTATCAACCCACCAACGACGCTGCTACACACCAGGACCACCACCAACGGCAGATACACAATCGATTAGGTATGATTATTGTATACTTCTTGCCCTTTTAGAAACCGAATCGGCAGATGGGTGCCTCGCAAACATGCTTGGGATTCCAATTCATAGATATTCCTTCATTTGCTAACTTTTTAATTTGTTACTAAGGATACTGCCTTCGGTGATTTTCCTTGGATTGATTCGTTGGAAATTAGATGGGTGCCCCACAAACCATGGGGTCAAATGAGATGAGAAGTGAATAAACAAATTTTTGTTTACTGGAATGAATATTAACGAATCTGCTATGAGAAAAAGGCTTCAAAGGCTTTTTGTGTGAATTAAATTCTAACTTTTTAATCTGCATAAATTTTGGTTTTTTGTTGTTAATGTTAATGTTATGACAGGTGGAAAGCTCGTTCTCGGATAATTCTTGATCTTCTTAAACATCTTGATGTTGCTATTTTATCTGAATTTTTGAATTCTGTAGGGATCCATAATGAGCAATGTCAAGCTTGCACATGCCAAATATTTATTATCAAGAGTAGCAAAATTTTAAAAAAATGGTATCTAGAAAATTTGAGTGCACACCATCTACTGGGGATTTCAATTCTAATCCTGGATATAAGGTTTTTATAATTCAATGGTTATTCCATTCTTGAATTTACATTGAAAACTCAAGAAACATATAGTTCTTATTATTCATTGGGAAATTGTGTATAGGTGTACAATATCTTGTTTCTAGTGGCTCACTTTTGCCCATATTTGCCATTCTTCTATCTTTATACATATGAATTAAGAGTGTGATTCATGGAGCTCTTATGAAATAT